AAGAGTCTCTTGATTTAGGATGTCTCTATGTATTTAAGCTTTATTTTGTGTGTCATCTGTTTCAAAGTTTCCTTGGGTTTTTCCTGTATGATCAGAAGCCAATCAGGATTCACGCTATTCCCCATGGTATTGTCCTCTACAGCCCTACTAGGTCTGCTTATTTTGGAGGTGGGCGGATTTTAGGGATGGAAACAGTTCTTACTTCCTATCCTTAGGCAGTAAAACTTGAAAATGAACAAAAGGTCTTTCCCTGAACTGCCAAATGAGAAACTGGGAGGATTCTGAGAGCAGCTGGTGTGAAAATTGGTGGGTTGCTCTGGTCTTGGTGGTCTTCTGGTGTTTGCAGAGGATTAAACTTACAGAGTCCTTGACAAAAACTCGGAGTAAGGTGCCTGCCACTTCCCTTTCTGTAGTAAAGGGCCCTGGGCAAATACCACAAGGAGGAGAGGCTGCAGTGGGGTGTGGAGGGTGGGAGGAGAGCACAGGCATTGGGTGAAGAAAAGGGCAAAAGAAGTGGGGGAATGGTTCAAGTGGGAAGCTGGGCTTTCCTGCCAGGCGAGGCTGAGGAAAGATAAGATGATAAGATGAAGCACCTACTGGGAGTTCAGTGAGGAAATGCAGTGAGGATGGTTTGTTTCTTATGTCTGCACAGCAAGCTCAGAGGTCCCTCTGTTAGCAGGATCCTCTTTGCTAGTAGTTTTTCATAGAATCCCGGAGTGGCTTGGGTGGGAAGGGACCTTAAGGCTCATCCAGTCCCACCCCCTACCATGGGCAGGGACACCTTCCTCTGTCCCAGGCTGCTCCAAGCCCCGTCCAGCCTGGCCTTGGACACTTCCAGGTATGGGGCAGCCACAGCTTCTCGGGGCATCCTGTGCCAAGGCCTCACCACCCTCACAGGGAAGAATTTCTTTCCAGTATCCCGTCTAACCCTGCTATATTTTCATTAATTCCCCCATAGCCTATCAAGCCATATCCCCCCCTTGTCCCTGTTCCTGAATTTAGGGGCTTGTGAAATTTGCATCAAATTCGCTCAAGCTGTTGGAGTAGGTTTGTGTGAGCCCTGGGCTGAGAGAGGACAGACAAAATGGAGACAGATGTGGAGACATCATTACCTTTTGGGAGCGCAAAGCACGTAGAAATGCCACGGATTTGTGCATATTGGAACTTTGTGCCGTGGTGTCCATGCTCAGGTTCCAGAGCCCAGGAAGCCTCTGAATGCCTGCTAAGGTGGTGAGCAGAAAGGTGAGGGATCCTCCTGTTTTGGGCCTTTGCAGCAGGCGCAGAGCCCTTCCTGCCCGAGGGAAGCACAGATTGGAAGCAGATGTGGCGAGCTCTGCCCTCACCACTGCCAGTGCTGGGAGGAGAGGAAGTGCGAGGGTGGGTGCAGATCCAGGCCCCCATGATGTCCAGCAGTACCAAGGATGTTGTGTGGGATCCTCTGAAAACATCTGGAAACACCTGCAGCTGTTCCAACCTCCCCTGGGTCAGAGGTGCAGATACATGGTCAGGGCAAGGATGGAGGAGCAGAACTGAAGGTAGGAGAAAGTGAACCCTGGGGCACCAATGGTTTTACAGCTGATACAGAGCTCGGTGCTTCAACACATCTTCCACTTCCTTACCCAGCCCATTATGGGGTGGTGACAGCGAGAGCTGTGTCATTGTCGTTCCTTTCTTCGTCTTGTCCCAAGAGCATGGCTGCTCGTGGGCTGTGGGGATGTTTTGTGTGTTCCTCTTAGTTTTTTGGTTTATTTATTTTAATGAGTGTTTGTGCTGGATGGGAGATTACAAGCAGAAACACAGGAGTGCTGGTGGCCCAGGAGGCATGACAGAGAGCTGTGAAAATGTAAAGGAAGGAAGCAGCTTAATCTTTTAGGGAAATGCTATTTATAGCATGCTTTGCCCCACGAGCTCTGGGTGACACACCTGCACACAGCGAGTGTTTTGTGTGGGTGAATTTTTCTCTGCAGTTTCATCTGCTGAGGCAGATCTTGGAGCTTGTGGGCTTGTGACCTGCCATGGTCATGGGAGGGTGTGTGGACTTGCCCCTGAGTTTGCTTGAGTTCATGACCTTATATTAGGCCCAAAAAGGAGTTAGGTGTGTGCAGATAAACAAAGAAGAAACCTTCGGGATTTGTCCTGCTGTGGCTGGGGAGCTGCCAATGCTGAGGTTTGCCCTCAGTGCTGCCACATTCCTTGTCCCCAAACCTGCTTCAGGCTGCTCTGTGGCTGGACCTCCCCAAGCCGGGCTTTGGGAACAGCCTTCTCACTGTCCTGCCTTCCCTCCTCTCCCAGGACATGAACAACCTGGACGAAGGGGTGGAGTTCCTCCCTGCCATGAACTCCAAGAAGATGGAGAAGCGCGGCCCAAAGCGACAGGTGGTCGTCACTGTCCTGATCATTGTTTTTCTGCTTGTCTCCCTCACCACTGGCCTCCTGTTTTGGCACTTCAAATGTGAGTGTGACATGACACTGGTGGGTGGTGACAGGTAGAGTGACACTGTGGGAATGTATCCATCTACATGGAAAAGCTTCATTACCCTATGTTGCTCACATGTGCCCTCTTAAGCTCTGGAGACACCATTTCCACCTCCCTGCCCCAATTGCTGTCACTAGGGATCTGCTGTAACACCAGTCCCAGCCCTGACTGCCCTTCCTGACCCTGAGCTGTTCTCTTCCAGATAGGAGCACACCCATCCGGAAGGTTTTCAATGGCCACTTGCGGGTTCTGAACTGGGAATTCCTGGATGCCTATGAGAACTCTAGCTCTCCAGAGTTCAGTATGCTGGCCAAGAAGGTGAAGAGCACGGTAAGAGGTTTCTTGCCTCCCTCCTTCTGCAAGCAAGGAATTTTCCTCTTGCCTCATGGCCAAGGGTATATGCCATGTAAGGTTCCTTGGAGCTTTCCCTGCTCACTCTGACACACTGGCTGGGAGCAGGGACCTTCTTTGGAGCTGCATCTTGACATTCCAGCTCCAGCCCAATGCCATGGCATCTCCCTGTGCCATAGGAGCTGCCAGGGCATATCCCAGAGTCACTGTATGAGTCAGGGCCAGGATCTAAGGCAGAAGGATGTCTGAAGGAGGCTGAAGCTGTAGCTGGTCTTACCTCTTCCCTCACACTTGGGGGTTCAACTTCCCCCAGGGA